CTACTAATAGCTAGCATTCATTGGCCATTCACTGTGCATGCATTTTTACATTCATGATTTCAGCAATTTGTCACCATAACCCTGTGGAGTAGGAAAGTTATTATCTGTATTTTACAACAGAAGAAACTGGCTGAAAAATTAAATGACTTGCCCAAGGTAAAACCAGTAGCACATGACAGATCAAAAGCAACTTAAAGTATTTTGGGGTTTTTTTTTTCTTTCAGCTGAGCCATCCTGCCACCTGTTGGCAGCTCAGCAGCAGCTCAGCTTGGGCCAGGCATTGAACCGCTGTTGCTCAGAGCTCGCACTCTTGAGCGAGCTCTTAACCAACTGAGCCACTCGGCCAGCCCTACAGTATTTTTATATTAAAACATAGACTTTGCAGTAGAATCCAAATTCTTTTTTTTTTTTAATATAAAGAAACCCTTAGCATTTGTGGTAGGGTGGTTAGGCCATGCCTCCCAGAACATGAGGGGCATACTTCCTCTTCTTTATTTGGTAGAAAAATTTGAGACTCACTGAAAATATCAGCCTAATGAAGTTAACAGGAGTTACCGTCATTGCTGGTTTTACTGGAGGTCATATTATTATCCCCACTTTACAGATGAGGCAACTGAGGCAAAGTGATCTGGTCACATAGGTCGTCCACTTCCCAGTCCAATGTGACCTTGCTGATCCTCAGTAGCAGCCCAATTCTTCCATCTTCCATGGATATAACTTATCTCCTCATTCTTTCTATTCTAAGTCAGAACTCAGCTGGTTCCCTTTTCATGGCAGTGGGATTTGTTGGGGGTTTTTTGCTTTTGTTTTTGAGGCCTGGAAAAGTAGACATAGGCAATATGCTACTATGTAGAGGAGCCTATGGAAAAGGTAGGACTTAAATTAGATATGATGGGAGGAAGAAAGCAGAGGGGTAAAGGAAAAGGAATTTTTAAGAGCCAAGGAAAAAGGTTTTGAGGTAGTTGAGCCAAGTTCCTTATTAAGGGGGCTAAAGGTATGATATCATTTTTTTTAACGGCCTCACTTCTCATGGCAGTCTGTGCTTTGTCTAATAGTATTCTCTTCTCAGGTAACAAAGCTGGGTTCAATATTTCATTGTACATGCATTTTTAATGTTCTTCCCTACCCGTCCTAGAGCACTGCCAAAATCAGGCAAAGCATTCCTGGCTGTCTGCTTGGGAGAGACCTAGAAACTGGCACTTCTCTGAGTGAAGATGAGGAAAAGTCTGTAAATCAGCCAAAAGAGCCTTGAAGTACTCTTTCGGCGTGAGACAGTGATGCAGGTGGAAGGAGGTGAACACCACTGGGGAACATGGCTTCCAGCTTCCGTCCCGCTTAACAGCAACTCCAGCTTCTGAGCCAGGCTCGCCGGGATGTGCCACTAGACCGCCATGGACGGAGCCCACAGCGTGGCCCTGCAGCTGCAGCAGCTCCCGCCCACAAGCAGCGCCAACTCCGTGAGCGAGGCTTCCTTCTCCTACAAGGCAAGAGCTTTTATTTATTTATTTTTTTGTTTTGTTTTGGAATTTTGTATTTTTCTAACAAAAAAGTAACACAGTACACCATCAGCTAACAGATGTGTGTCCAGGATCCACACGCCTATCACTGGCAGAAACAGGCAGACCCTTCACACATACAGGAGAATGTGTAATCAAAAGAAAAGCAACACTCAGTCAAATACATAAAAATTGGGAGGGGGAGAAATATTTTTAAAGGGATACGGTACCACTTAGAAGATTTGATTTTTTTAAATTTCTTTTTAAATCACCTATTATTTGTAGACAACCTTAGTCCGTATTTCAGTGTATTTCCTCCCTGTCTTTTTCTGGTATTACAAATTGGGACTCAATTGTATAAAAAGTTTTGTATCTTAGGTTGTTTCACTTAACCTTGTTTGTGGAATATTCCCTCATGTCACTGAGTAGTGACCGAAAGCATGCTTTTTGAATGATTGCCCAACCATCTGTTGAGCTTCTGTATCAAAATTTGCTGGACAAATTTATTATTGGATGTTCAGGTTACTTCTAAATAGTGCTGCAGTGAACATCCCAGAGTGCATGCTCCTTTGCTATGCTAAGAATGGACGAGGCCTATGAGAAGCAGCCTGTCCCTAGTGAGCAAGGCCACAAATGCTAGAGCATCAAGAATACAGAAAATAGGGCCGGCTGAGTGGCTCAGTTGGTTAAGAGTGCAAGCTCTGAGCAACAGGGTCGCCGGTTCGATTCCCACATGGGCCAGTGAGCTGCACCCGAGCTGAGCTGCCCTGAGCTGCCGCCGGGCGGCTGGATGGCTCAGCAGTTGGAGCGGTGCGCTCTTAGCAACAAGGTTTCTGGTTCAACCCCCACATGGAATGATAGGCTACACCCACCCGCAACTAAGATTGGACACGGCATCTTTAGCTGAGCTGCCACAAGCTGCCGGCGCAGCTGGATGGCAATTGGACTTGGAGCTGAGCTAGTTGTGTTCTCCACAACTAAGATTGAAGGACAGCAACTTGGCTGTTCCCCTTCTCCAATTCCCCAATAAAATTTTTTTAAAAATAAAGAATAAAAAGAATACAGAAAATAAGAAAATATCATTAATGTTGATATAATTGGCCCTGTAATGAATGGATGCCAAATAGACATGCAGACTCTAAGAAAACACAGAACACTCTCCCTGATGAGATTTCTAATAAGTCTCCATTTAAATCACAAATTAATTCAGTTACTTATTATAGAAATATCTTTGTGCCAGAGCAAAGACAAAGTCATGATGACCCTACCAAAGAGCTTAAGAATTTGAGGTGAGAAATACGAATAAAGGGTTAAAGGCTAACCAAAGTGCCAGATGGGATGATGGGAAGAAGACCTGGGTTCAAGTCTCTACTCTGCTCCTTCCTAGCTAAGTGACCTTGGACATGTGGCTTAACCCATCAGATCTTCTGCTGTGGGTAGAAGGGTGGTACTAATACCCCCTCCACCCCTCATCGCTCCATTGCTGTGTGGATCAGTGAAGAAGTACCACGCCCAGTCGAGGCATGCAAGAGGTGCTTGATTCAGAAATGCCTCTGTGGTTACAAAGAGGAACATTAAGGTGCACAGAACAAAGGAAGGGTAGTTAATTCTGCTTGGGGGTAGAGGACAGGGTTTTAAGGGGAAGCTGAATCCTTCCTCTTTGATTTTATCAAGGCTATTTTGGTTGCAAGGAATAAAAATCCATTTCAGAAAAGCTAAGGCAAAAGGGGAAATTATTATAAGGTTACAGGTTAGCTCATGGAACCCAAGAGCAGGAAGGGCAGTGGGGCTTGGAAAGCGCTAGCATTCTTACATCTACCTTCAAAAGAGGGAAGATCTGATTGGCCCAGCTTGGATCAGGTGTCTACATTGGCCCAATCTGTGGTGGCCAGAGGGGTGGGGTCACCCAGCAAACGTAGTTTCTGGGGGCTCCACCACTGTGGGCAGCTCTCAGAGAAAAGTGGTCATGTGGGCTGGGCAGGCTGCCCCCAAATCGTCTCTTACCTTTTGGGGCAAGGAAAACATTAAGAAGTCCCAATTCCAGCTTGATCAGTGGGATGAAGTTAGGGGCAAGCAGTTTGTCTTGAGTTGCAGCCCTGCCCTCTAAACTTCCCAACAGGGAATGGATTCCAGTTGTTGGGGAAGGGTGGTCTGGGAAAGAGAGGCCAACAGGCTGAGCTGCCCAGGAGGCAGCATGGCAGCAGGTCCCTGACACTGGCGGCTTTGCCTCAGCCCAGAAGAGTCAGGCCTCCATTTCTTCTATTTAGCAAATAGTCATTTCAACTGAGTACGTGTGTGTGTGTGTGTGTGTGTGTGTGTCCGTCTCAATGCCTGTGCTGGCTTGGGTGGGAGCTATATAGATAATTGAGATATCGCTTCCCTGAAGGAGCTTACAGTCAGTGAGGAAGGTGGGGGAAGCTATTTCCACAAGGACCTATCATTCAGGACAGAATTAGGTGCAAAAATAGAGATACAGCAGGGTTTTAAGAGCATGGCCTTCAGAATCTGAGAGACCTGGCTTCCAATTCCAGCCCGATCACTTTGCAGCATTTATAACTTGGGGGAAAGCCATGTAACTCCTCTGTAGGTGAGTTTTAAATCCATCCTATAAGGTGGTTATGAGGCTGACCTGAATTTACAAGAGGAAACTGAAGCTCCTGCACCATCACATGTCTGCTTGTGGAAATCCTACCCATCCTTCCAGCTCCCACTCAGGTATCACCTTCTCCATGAAGCCTTTGTCAGTCCTCCTGCCAGGAAACCATAGGTCCTTTACCCACACTTCCATAGCCAATTCACAATTGTTATAGTAATCATCATAATAATAATTGCAGCTAACATTTGTTGAGTGTTCACTGTATGACAGGGTCTGTGCTAATCCTCCCAAAAGCCCCATAAGATAGGTACTGTTATAATCCCATTTTACGTAGGAGGAAACCTGCACAGAGAGACTAATTAACTTGCCCAACGACACACAGCCAATAAGTGTAGTAAAGCTGGGATTCCAATGGCATCTGTGCACTGCCAAGGCCCTTGGTTTTATGCGAGGCCCCACTTATGCAAGGCACTCTGGGAGGCCCCTTCTCTCCCTGACATTGGTTATTAAGTGTTAAAATGGCAATTGTGGGGAAGGTGATGCCTCACCTGCTGGAGAAGGTGTCAGGAGCTGGCCTGAAACAAGGTTACAGGTATAACAGTGTGGTTAGTTGGACTGCTGGATCTTTTGTATGTGAATGTGAGTAATGCTCAGAGCAAGCCAGAACAGTTATACTTAACTGTTAGCAGTTTTAAGTCCAAGGGATTATGGGAGGTCAGTTTAAATAACAAGCGATGACGGGTCTTGTCACCATGGGATTTAAATAAAGGCTGTTGTTGGCAGATGTAAAGCAGACCTTGGAACAGGAGATCTGAGCTGAGGTTTCACTTGGTGAGCGATATCCAAGTACGGTTTGCTGCCTCTGTGACCTTCGGCTGCTTTCCTGGGGACAGTTTCTTTTCTTTCAGACGTGTGGCTGGTAAAAGGTCAACTCTCGAATCAGAGACTATCAGAGCCAGAGGGGTCCTTAGAGCAGTTGCTAATAGTAACGACAATAATAAAAATGGAAATTGTAAAAATAATAATAGTAACAGCTAGAATTGTTTCAGTATTTGCTACGTGCCAGGTAACATTGGCACGTGTGCCTTATTTCCTATAACATGGCAATCCTGGGAGGGCTTACAATCAGCTCCATTTTTTCAGAGGGGAAGCTGAAATCCTGAGAATTAAGGGAATTCCCCTGAAGTCACACAGCAGGAAGTGGCAGAGGCAGGACCTCAGCCGAGGTCTGCTGGTCTTCAGAGTCCACACAAGGACGCTGAAGCAGAGAGAGAGGTGACTTCGGTTTTGCTGTCCCCTCCCCTTGACATTTGGGTCTGTAGAAGCCATGGCGAGAAGCAGCTGAGTCTGAAATCGTGCTGCCCACAGGTAGTTTTGCCCTCACTTCCCTCGCCAGTGCCACTCCCATTCAGAGTCTGCACTGTGAGTACAGTCCTGGTTTGTGCCTCATGTCCATGTGCATACCAGTAGAG